TGGTTGGATCTGATTCCGGCCATTCCCCGGTCATATTCCCCTTCGAATCAATTGTCGAATCATTCTTGGGAGTCTTGTGGTTCTCCTGTGTAGTCTGTTTCTGTTGGCATGATATTATTTTATTAACGTTATATATAGAAGTTTTATATATTTAAGTAAACGAAAATATGCAAAATAGACAAAATGACGTAAAATATATATTATTAGCAAAACAATCTTGTCAGACATCAAAAATCCTCTTAATAAGCAAGAAAGCACGAGTAGTAATTTGTTGGTGGAAATGATTCGCCGTCATACTCTAAATACGGACAACGAATTAAAAAATAACACTCTTTATTTGGCGAACGAAAGCGTAACCGCCGCAGAACTAGGAGAAATCATTGGTCGTCCAATCAGTGAAATTATTGCTTTTTTTTGAAACCGAGGGCAAGGTGTCAGTCGTAACCAGGCGTTAACTGACGATTTATTAAGTGACTATTGTCGAAGTATTAACATCAGAGTGAAAAAAAAAAAGTGGGCTAGATTTTCGCCAGATTATTCAAGAATATTCGCAAAAAAGCCAACTCCAAGGGTCCTTGGTTAACCGTCCACCTATTGTTAGTATCATGGGTCATATCGACCACGGCAAAACTACTTTATTAGACACTATTCGTCAAACCCAAGTCCAAAAAAAAGAGGCTGGAGGCATAACCCAAAAGGTTAGTGTTTCCCAAGCGGAATTTCAGGGTCAAAAAATCACTTTTTTGGATACTCCTGGACACAGTGATTTTATTAAAATGCGCCAGCGAGGAATTTCTCTGACGGACCTAGTGATATTGGTAATTGACGCCAAAGACGGAATAATGTCCCAAACTGCTGAAATTATTGATTATCTTCATAATTATCAGTTGCCTACACTGGTTTTCATTAATCACAAAAAGCCCAGCGAAACGGACAATGAAACTAATTTAAATCGGATACGAACCCAATTACAGGAAAAAGAATTAACTCCTCTCGAATGAGGCGGAGAAATAATTGTGGTTTCTGGCAACGCCAAAGAAAAAGACAGCGTTAATCATCTTCTCGAAAATATTCTACTCTTTGCCGATTTTAAATCTCATCCTCAAAGTCCAGCTCACGGAGTAGTAATTGATAGTTTTCTTCACCCACAAACCGGCTCTCAAATAAATGAATTATTGATTCAAGATGGAACCCTAAAAATTAAGGATAGCATTTTCCTCAATGGCAAGTTTGGTTCGGTCAAAATAATGTCTGATATTCGAGGTCAGAGAGTCACCACTGCCCAACCGAGCGATATAGTTAAAGTATCAGGCATTAATATTCCAGCCGAATTAGGCGACCGATTTTTGGTGCTAAATGATGAAAAAGCCGTAGCCAAAATAGAACAAGAATTAGCCCATTATTGAGAAAAAAAGAAAAAAATTACTCCAATGCCTTCCTCTAGCAAGAAAAAAAATGTTAATTTAGTCCTGGTTGCCGACAGCCAAAATAGCCTGGAAGCCCTCACGGAATTAGTGAAAAAAAAAAATGCTCTTCATTGTGACCTTTCAGCAGTCTACAAAGCGGTGGGAAATTTAAACAGTTTTGCCTTGGATTTAACAAAAATTACTAATAGCCAGGTTTTAATTTTTGGCTATCAACCTCCTCAATCTCAAATAAAAACATTAAAAGAAAATAATATTTCATTTTTTAGTAGTAAAATTATCTATGAAATTGGGGAAAAATTGGACCAAATTATTGATAGTCAACAAGAAATAGAAGAAGTTGAGGAAATAGTGGGAACAGCAATAGTAAAAGTAGTTTTTGAATTTTCCAAAGGCAATATTGCGGGTT